AATCAGTCACCCCTAGAATTCACACAAACATCATGGCGACATATGGCGACTAGAATCAGAAGCATGTCGAACGCTTGAACTGAAACAGACAAGCCTGTTGCCCGATGTAGCTGCAACATATACCTGCTTGCAATTCAACACTTAGTCGCTGGACAGGGCAAGCTTTCAGCTTTTGAAATCGGTTTGATCTAGCAATTGCGGCGAGTTGAGGCAAATTAATGCCTCAAGGGTACGCATCAAAATCGGCCAACGGATGCACAGTTAAATGCGGAAGCTGTGCAAAGTTCTCTGTCGATACGTCAATGCTCACTTGACTCGTTCGTCACTGGCATGCCAGTGGCTGAAGGTAGGGCCAGCGGTCCTGACTTGTGAAATGTTGTGAACTTAGAGTTTGCAAACTTTATACAAGATGACTGCTACTGTACCGCTCTCTCACTCGTGCACGCTTGCCCTGCCCCACTGCCTTCCAAGCAATCGTCCACCTCTTCTGGCACCGCCTGGTAAGCATCCTCCCATGAGATGCTCGAAGCATTGGACGCAGCATCACCTGAATTGATGAGCTCTCGAATGCTCTTTGCTTGTGCCACACAATGGCCTTCTCGCTCGAGTAGGAGAAGAGGGTCTTCTTCCGTGGAGTCACTAGCAAAGCTGAGCTCCTCTCACATGCTGTGCAAATTTAGGAATGGGGGCAAGAACTGAAGCTATCTCTCACGCTTCAAGCAATCGGACCTCTCAAATGTGTACTTCGCATCTGTGCAAGTCTTGACTTGATGGACAGAGGAGGCTTGAAGACCAGAGGGCAGGAGGACAGGCCGCTTTGTTCTGAGACTTTTGCCCGTCACCTAGGTCACAACTCGATGCAGCAGCTCAATTGGAGACATTCCCCAGGAAAGTCAGCGGGCCTTCAACACCAAACACAGAATAGAGCAGTCTCCGCATTTTTCGGTGAAGCATCGGTTCACGGGCTTGTGCTTGGTAGTTGGGCCGCGCTGCTGCAGGTCGGAACGCCGCAACTGTGCATGAAGCGCGAAGATCCTGTAACGATCTTCACACATCGCACGGGCGCGGTTACGACTTGGGCCGCAGTCCCTCAACAGCGATAATGCCTAAGCAGGTATTGAAATGTGACAGCGTGTGGAGGTGCCTCGTCGTCGTCCCCATCATCATCATCCCCCTCGTCATAATGATGGCCAAATTCGAGGAACTGCACGTAGTGCATGCCCTGACTTCGGGGGGCAACCGCTAAAGCCCGACACGACAGCTGAGCCATGTGTTGAATTTGAGCTTAATGGAAAACCCTTTTGTGCACCCCTCTCGAAAGTTGAGTTTCGCTGCATTTGGGCTCGGAGGTGGGAGTTTTAACTTATTGCATGATTCTCCTTGTTGAGATAAGATCTTTCGGTTGAGGCATTTGTGCTCGATCTTGTGTCGCCCGAAGTCCTAGAACATTCCGAATCCGTGATGATGAGGTTTTGAAGCGCATTGCCCATGGCAAACATTGCGCTGACATGGCGCTAGCAAAATACTCAGCAGAACACCCTCATCAAATTTGAATGTACTTCTCTTCCGTAGTTGTTTGTTAACTTCAGGGTTGAAAGATTTCAAAGCCCCTCTTCTTGTGGAACATCTGTCTATGAAAGTATTCAACAATATTCAACATGCATTGTAATTGCCTCTTGTAGCCTTGCATCACTTACTGCAGGAATATGTCGTTCGCAAAGATCGGACGCTGCTTCCCCATGGAAAGCCCTTCATCGGCATTGTCTACACGCACGTTCAGCATGCTTTTTGTTTACCGCCCCGCCTGCCAAGAAATCGTGAACTCCTTCTGGATGGATCACTTAAGATACGATGTGGCAAAGAACGCGCCGACGTTCTCTAGACAAATTGTTCAACTTCACAATACCACGCCCTATGGCCTTTGAGGATTGTTTGTTAAGCTTACGCTGTTGAAGCCCTAGCTCCAACAAAGCGAAAACCCCAAAAGCAAAACTCCGCCGATTCTA